GAGATGATTCTTTCAGTGATAGTAGTAGCTTTATGGAGGTAGGTGCTGGGCCGAAGCAGAGAAGGGAGCGGGATTATCTTGGAGGTAGCGGTAGCGGTACCGATAGGGCGAAGAGAACTAAAGTGTCTGAGGAGAGGGAGTCCAGTGAAACTCTCTGGACTTTTGAACAGTAAGGTAGGTGATATTCGTATGGCTAAAGTCCTGAAAGACGGTAACTTGTTGATTGTTTGCAAGGATGAAAAGCAGCGAGAGCGGGCTGGTAAGATCACCGAAATAGGACGGAGTAAAGTGGTTAGTTCAAGCCGGATTGAAAGTGGAGGAAAGCGGACAAAGGGAGTGATTTGGGGAGTGCCAGTTGGAGTGTCAATGGAGGAAATTAAAACCATCTAAAAGGGGGAGTTTTGAAAAGTGCCCTGCGGCTGCAGGTAACTCGTGGAGGAGTGAGAGATGACAGTGAGTCTGTGTTGCTTGAATTTGAAGAGGAGGTACTCCCAAAGAAAATCACTCTGGGTTTTTTGAGTTATAGTGTAAGAGAGTATGTGCCAAAACCAATGAGATGCTACAACTGTCAGAGATTTGGACATACAGCCAAAAATTGCAAGGGAAAGAGAAGATGTGCCAGGTGTGGAGAGGAGCTGTAGCTGTGGTGGCAATCACAGTGTGTCATATGGGGGGTGTGAAGTAATGAAAAGGGAAGTGATGATTCAACAGATAAGAACCCAGAATAAGACCACCTATGCAGAAGCTGTGAAAATGGTGACACAAAGAGAGGGGCAAGATGGAAGGATGGAGAGAAGCAGAGCAAGAGTACAATCAGCAGAAGTGAGAGAGCCAGATCAGGCAAGCAAGGGGAAGATGATGGTTGAGGTAAAGAAACTAGTCACTTTCATCGCAGATATAGTCAATGTCACAATGGAGGTCAAGTCAAAAACAGAGAGAATCCAAAGGATTGTAAAGGCAGCAAACTTCTATCTAGATGCCGGTGGGCTGACTTGGGAGGAGGTGAATAAGAGTCTCAGAAGTCAAGAAAGTCAGGAGCAGGCATGGGCTGGGGTCTAGTGCTGTTAATGGTTTTTGTACTGCAATGGAATGCAAGAAGTCTATTGGCTAATGGACAGGAATTTAAAAAGTATGTAGATGAGTTGCCCAGTAAACCAGATGTTATCTGTGTACAGGAAACATGGCTAAAACCAAATCTGGATTTCAGGATAGTTGGTTATGTTTCCGTCAGGTGTGATGGGGGGGTGGAGTAGGGGGAGGCTGTGCAACATTTATCAGAGAAAATGTTTCTTTTAGAGAGGTAGGTATAGGAAATGAGCTAGAATATGTCACTGTTGAGATATGGACTAGTGAAGGGGAGCTGGTAGTCATTAATTATTATAATCCTTGTAAGAAACTAGAGGTAGATAAGTTAATGCAAATTGAGGGGATGGATGGAAATAGGATAATGTTGTGTGGAGACTTCAATGCTCACAGTACTTTATGGGGAGGAGCAAGAACAGATGCTAATGGGGTGGTAATTGAAGAATTGCTGGAAGAAAAGGGCATGGTTTGTGTCAATGATGGTAGAGGGACCAGGATAGATGTGCGTACAGGGAACACTTCGGCACTAGATTTAACCCTGGTTTCTAGGAATTTAGCAGGAAGATGTGAGTGGGAAGTGGTAGATGACACAACAGTAGGGAGTGATCATTTTCCAGTGTTGTGTAGTGTATTACTCCAAAGGAATGAAAGGCAAGGGAAATTTTGGGGGAATTGGATATTTAATAGTGCAAAATGGGAGCAGTTTGAATATATGTGTGAGAGAGAAGTATCTAAAATAGATTTAAATGAGGAGGTGGAGGAGATTGATAGAAAGTTTAGAGCAATATTGATAAAAGTAGCTAATCAGACAATTTCTAGAAGTAAAGGAACAATGAAGAGAAAGGCTGTGCCCTGGTGGACAGATGAGTGTAGTATGGTAGTGAAAGAAAGGAATAAAGCTTTAAAGGTTTTAAAGAGAACACATAATTTCCAGAACTTAATTAAATATAAGCAAGCTCAAGCAGTTGTTAGGAGAACTGTACGTAAAGCGAAAAGGCAAAGTTGGCAGATTTTTTGTAATAAAATTGGTAGGTCAACTCCTGTTGGGGATGTTTGGGGCATGATTGGAAGCATGAGAGGTGTCAGGAGAGAATGGCAGTATCCAGTTTTGAAGCTGGAGGAGGAAATGGCAGAGTCTGAGGAAGAGAAGGCTGAAATGTTAGCTAGGGCCTTCATTAAGATCCATAGCTCTGACAATTTGTCTGAGGAGGGTATGAGAGGAAGAGCAAGAACAAGTGCAGCACATCCTGGGATCTTGGAAAGAAGGGAGGATACAGACAGTGTAATGGATGCTCCATTTACTTTGGCTGAAATGAGGAGAGCACTAGCTAGATCTGGGCTAACATCTCCTGGTGGGGACGAGATTTGCTATATAATGCTAAAGCACTTAGGGGTCTTAGCATCCATGAAGCTGCTAGGTGTATATAATAAAGTGTGGGAAGTGGGGAAATTACCAAGTAGCTGGAAAGAGTCAGTGATTATTCCTATCAGGAAGCCAGGAAAGGATCCGTCAAGTCCAATGAATTATAGACCTATAGCCCTAACATCACATATGGGGAAGATAATGGAGAGAATGGTCACAGATAGACTGACATTTTATATGGAAAGCAGAGGACTCCTGTCTCCTTCTCAGAGTGGGTTTAGGAGGGGTAGAGGGACCATGGACCCTGTTATGTGTCTTGAAACAGAGATCAAGAAAGCACAAGTGAACAAAGAATCTGTAATGGCAGTGTTCTTTGATGTAGAAAAGGCGTATGATATGGTATGGAAGGAGGGAGTAATGATCAAATTAAATATGATGGGAATAACAGGTAGGGTATATAATTGGGTTAAGGAGTTTTTATTTGACCGATTTATTCAGGTTAGAATTGGAGCAGCTATATCACAGAAATATAAGGTCGATAATGGTACTCCTCAAGGGAGTGTTATTAGTCCTTTACTGTTCTCCATTATGATAAATGATGTTTTTTCCCAAGTTCAGGGGGATATTGGGCGGTCATTGTTTGCAGATGATGGGGCCTTATGGAAGAGGGGGAAGAATGTTGAATATATTGAAAAGAAAATACAAGAAGCAGTCAATGTAGTGGAAAAATGGTCCTATTCTTGGGGATTCAAGTTTTCTGTAGGAAAAACCAAAGCAGTATTATTTACAAGAAGGAGGGGTGCTGATCCTCAGTTAAAGATGTATGGACAAATAATAGAACGAGTGAAAGATTTTAGATTTTTGGGTGTGTGGTTCGATGAAAAGTTGACATGGAATGAGCATATTAATAAGGTACATGCTAAGTGTAAAAAAATACTGAATGTAATGAGATGTTTAACAGGATTAGAATGGGGAGCAAGTAGGTCAGCTTTGAAAATGATTTATGTTGCACTGATCAGGTCAGTATTAGACTATGGGAGTGCTGCATATGGTTCAGCATCTAAGTCTTTACTGAAAAAGTTAGAGGTGGTGCAGTCTCAAGCCTTGAGGTTGTGTTGCGGGGCTTTCAGATCAACTCCTGTGTCTGCTCTTCAGGTTGAGGTGGGAGAAATGCCACTGCATTTTAGACGAAAGCAGTTAATGATGAACTACTGGGCTAATCTTCAAGGGCATTCTGAAGGGCGACATCCAACAACAAAGGTGCTTCTTCCCTGTTGGGAGAGTGAAAGGGCCAAGTGCAAGTGCTTTGCTTGGAACAGTGTGAAAGTAGCTAAAGATATGGCATTAGATCAGTTAAGATACTCACCTACAGTGCCTTTATCAGTAACACCACCCTGGTTGTTTCCTGCAGTTTCAGTTGATTTATCTATGCTCCAGGAGCAGAAAGAATCTGGTAATATTGCTCAGCTAGTTGAGGATAGGCTGAATACAGTGTACCAATTAGCTGTGCCAGTGTTTACAGATGGATCTAAGGATCCGGATACAGGGAGAACAGGGTTTGCTTTCAGTGTCCCAACAATGGAAGTCTATGTTAAAAGAAGAACCACAGGTCATTTGTCTGTCTACACAGTTGAGATGTTGGCAATAGCATCAGCATTACAGTGGGTAGAAGAGTCACAAATCAGAGAGGTTGTTCTTTGCTCTGATTCATGTTCAACACTAATGTCCTTACAGTCAAATATATCAGACAGTAGGCAGGATATTATTTATGAAATTTTTTGAAACTTTGCACAGGATTAAAAATATGAACATTGGGGTGACATTTATGTGGGTTCCGGCTCACAGAGGACTTGGGGGTAATGAATTAGTAGATACATTAGCTAAAGAGTCACTAAAAATGAACGAGATCATGGAAATCGCATTGAGCAAGTCAGAAGCAAAATGTTTAATAAAGGAGAAGATCATGAGAGAATGGCAGCACGAATGGGATACAGCTATTACAGGTAGACACCTGTATGCAGTCCAGTCAGTAGTTGGCAAAGTAAGACCAGCCAATAGAACCACCAAAGAGGAGAGGATTTTAACCAGACTGAGGGTAGGACATGCTGGAATAAACAAGACACTGCACCTGATAGGGAAACATCCCTCAGGGCTATGCGAGCATTGTCAGGAAGTAGAATCAGTGGAGCATGTTATTTTGTGGTGCCCAAAATATTCACATGAACGTGAAGTATTAAAGAGAGAAGTCAGGACTGCACAGGAGGAGCTGACACTGAAGAATGTATTAACAGTTGGTGTAGGAGGTCTTTTCAAGTTTTTAAATGATACTGGGTTAATTAGAAGGATTTAGTCGAGTTGAAACTGTTTATTTATCTATTTTTCTTTTTTCTTTCCATTTATTTATTTATTTATTTATTTTTTGTTATTTTAATGTTTTTGTTTTGAAATAGAGCGATAACTCTGGTCCACACTCCAACACAGTAGGTGGCGGTAATGCACCTCAACGTTGGTTGCCACCCGCCAAAAACACCAAAAAGAAGAAGAAGAAGAAGTCTACTATTTTTCCTCTGGAACGTAAATGCAGCATCAGTGATGACGTCGTTGAAGGAAGACGAAGATGGCGTCCGGACAGCAATGGGTGTTGGTGGAAATGGTGCAAGCGTTTTATGAGGCAAGTTTCTCCTCTCCACAAGTCTTCCGGGCATATTCTACGCTTTCTAAGTATATTCCTCGTATGTTTAGCTGCTCGTTTATGATTTTAATTCTTTCCAAAGCTGCTTACCGTAAACTTATGAGTCAGGAAGTATCCATGGCTCAGGGAAGGCGTTTGGCTCGCACTCAGCCAATCGCCTGTTGTATGTTCTCTGCTCACTCTGCCGCTGTGCACGTAATGACAGTCAACGTTAGAAGCAAACTTAAAAGGAAAATCCTCAGCTTGTCTCCAGCTAGCCGCTAAAGTAGAAAATATCATTGAAACTGATTAATTGTACGAGTTACAGCCTTGAAGCTAACATGAGGGACATTACGTCGAGTCAGTGCCATTTGCATGTTGTAACTTTTCAAAATTAACGTAAACTTCATTTGAATGTTTTTTTTCAGCACCATATGTTACCTTATATCACATATATCAGTCCGTTATGCTATTTTCTCACTAGGTGTCTTAATGGAAGCTGGTTTATATGAGTAATCTAGCTGAAAGTAACAGCATTGAGTGTTTAGTCTAATGTTAGCGAATACATGAAATGTAGCCATATGACGCAAAAGCTAAGGGACTGTTCTGTACTTGTCAGAGGAGGGGGGGTGGCTAGGGTGTGTCTTTTTTTTTTTTCTTTTGACCCTGCCTGAAGAGAATTTTTTTCTTCTTCTTCTTTTTTAAAGATATTTTTTAGGGCATTTTTGCCTTTAATTCATAGGACAGTCAAGTGTGAAAGTGGGAGAGAAAGAGAGGGAGTGACATGCAGCAAAGGGCCACAGGCTGGACTCGAACCCGGGCCGCTGCAGCAACAGCTTTTTACATTGGGCGTCTGCTCTATCCACTAAGCCACCGACACCCCAAAGGGAATATTTTTTGTTGAGCCTCTCTGAGTGACTGGCAGAAATTGCATGACCCTCCCTCCACCATAAATTAATTATTAGCGTTTTTAAAAAGGACTATGTGTAAGTTTTGAGTTGAAGACAAAAAAGCCCCCTTTTTTTTACCTCTGTTGTGCATGAGTTAGTTTGTACAAACAGACTATAAGAAATGTTGAAATTGTGTAAGTTTTTAAAAGAAACGTGGGTTGGAAAGGCATGTTTTCTTTAAAAGACTGTGGTAAAATTGATATAAAATACAACCATTTAAACTTGTATGACCCCCCCCCCCCCCCCCCCCCCCAAGCCAAAATTAAAAACATAAGACTGTCCCCAGCGCTTAAAAATAATTTGACAAGCCTCCCCCATTTTGCACCACCATCTTACCCCTCATAAATAATGAACAATTGAAAATAGCACACTCAGCACCATGTGGTTTATGAAAATTATCTTTAAAAAAGCATAATAACATCTGTCTTTTGTCAGTGTCGCTTTCTTATATCCTTACCATAGTATATGTGCCCTAGATTCTCAAACATTTTTTAGTGCTGATTTATTTCTTCAAAGCTGAAGTGGTATTCCTGTTCTACAAGCTTTTGGACTACAGTAGGAAATGTGCTGCACATATTTGTCAGCCTTGTAGATATATACGAATTTTGCATGTAATGATGCGTCCTTTGCTTTCTTCCAGCCAGCAGCCAGAATTTCAATCAATCAATTCAATCAATTTTATTTATAAAGCCCAATATCACAAATCACAATTTGCCTCACAGGGCTTTACAGCATACGACATCCCTCTGTCCTTAAGACCCTCACAGCGGATAAGGAAAAACTCCCCAAAAAAAAAACCCTTTAACGGGGAAAAAAAACGGTAGAAACCTCAGGAAGAGCAACTGAGGAGGGATCCTTCTTCCAGGACGGACAGACGTGCAATAGATGTTGTACAGAACAGATCAGCATAATAAATTAACAGTAATCCATGTGACACAATGAGACAGAGAGAGAGAGAGAGAGAGAGAGAGAGAGAGAGAGTATTTAATTAATGTGTGAGTTATGTGTAGTACAGTCTTTGGTTTAGTGACAACATTCTACTGTATGTTTCCATTCATATAATAAAATGTTGTTGGTGCTTCCTCTATCAGAAACAGGCATCAAACGGCTGACATTAGAAATATTAGAAAACAAGAGCTTCTAAACTAGAAAAATGGATCATGTTAATTTTTTAAAATAAACTCAGAACCAGACATGGTAGAAGGTATCCAAGACACCCCAAACATTGCATTATGAAAGACAGGTTATATGACATTACAGAGAAAGCCAGCTTTAGTTGTGTTGAAGTGAAGTGGTGACTTTCTGTTTTATGAAACAATGAACAGCCCCTGCAAAAAGATCGAATGGCTCTAAAGACAACTGGGGCAAAAATAAACAGTGAATCTTGTATGCTGGTTTGATCAACGCAGTACCTTATTAGACACAGATCTCTACAATTCAAATATTGGATTTTATTTGTGGTCATGGAGTTTCTGCTCTCTGTCATAGTTACATAGTTACAAATTGACAGGACTAAACAATCCATACGCATTCACTAATCTAACACCAGAATAATGTTCATGTCCTCATCTTCCTCAGGCTCCTGCTTATCACTTGATTCTGGAGGGGATCCTCATTCTGTGGATCATCAGACTTCTGTTCTCTAAGACCTACAAACTGCATGAGACCTATAAACTGACAGAGAAGGTAAACAAAGCACAGTGCAGAGAGAAAAACAAACAGCAGTAGTGTTTGTGTGTTGTGTGTCACCAAACAGCTGTCATGTGCCTCCATGTTACAGGAGAAGGAGGACCTGATTGAGGAGTGGCAGCCAGAGCCTCTCGTTCCTCCTGTTTCCAAAGACCATCCCTCCCTCAATTATGATGTTGTCACAGGGTAAAACACACAGAGCACAGAGCACCCCTCCACCTACTGCTTTAAATACTGTCTGAAGCCAATGTCTCTCTTTCTCTTTCTCTCTGTCTCTCCAATTTCATGTTTCATGTTAAAGTTATCATTTTAACCCAAACCATGAATATTTTGAAGCGGCCCACAAGAGTTTGCAAGTCTAGGTTTACCATTTAGCCATGTCCACTCTAATTTTTGCCCCTTTTACAGTGTGGCTGGCAGTGACTTCTGCAACTCTTTGTCATTTTAGCCACAAATTTCATCCATCTCTGTTTATATAGCGCTTGCTCATTGCTCTAAATTAGTTTAGAGAGAGAGACTGAATAAGGAACAGATTTAAAAAGAAGTAACCACTGTAACATTTCCCCTGGCCTCCATGCTGCTTTTTATGCCTCCGTGCCAGCGAAAGCCATGATTGGAGGCATTATGTTTTTGGGTTGTCCGTACATCTGTACGTACGTACATCCGTCCATTCTTGTGAATGCGATATCTCAAAAATGCCTTGAGGGAGTTTTTCAAATTTTGCAGGAACGTTCACTTGGACTCAACAATTTACTGATTAGATTTTGGTGGTCAAGGGTCAAAGCTCAAGGTCGCTATGACCTTGCATCCATCACATATGTGATATTTTAAGAACAGCTTGAGGGAAACTCTTCAAATTTGGTACAAATGTTGACTTGGACTCAATGATGAAGTGATTAAATTTCTGTGGTCAAAGGTCGACCAGTCACTATGACCTTGTCTGTCTCATTTTTTGTGAGCAAAATATTTTTGCATGTGAAGCATCCATGTTTTCACAAACATGGATGAGAACTGTAAGAGAAACTTGACTGGTGCATGAAAGCAAACAGCTGTGGGGCGTTTATTGTAGTTACTGTTTAATTTTTTTTCCAGTGTGTTTTTGATGTTGAACCTGACACACAAGCCAAAAAAAACAGAAAGACATACTTCTCTCCTGGCACTGGGAAAGAAGTCTATCACCTTTATTTAGCGTTTTTTTTTTTGTGCGTTAAAACATTTTAATTGTGGCGGGGGAAAGGATACTTGACACCAGTAAAATTAGACATGTTTGTCACTGTAATGGATTATTCAGCTTTAGCAAGCTTCATGTGTCTGCTACTGAAAAGTTAACACCTCAGTGAACTTGATGGAAAACAGTGGCTGCTTGGAAAGGAGGGAAAATAGAGTTAAAACTGCGCACAGCACTGTGGTAGGAGTATGTTGTTGGACTGAAAATGCACAACACTGAAATGGTCCTTACACAGTAACTTGTAGCTGTTTGGTGCTCTCAGTGCTTTACACTGCTACAGTGTGTTACAGTAAGCTGTTTTCCATTACAGGCCTCCCAGCCATAAAATCATAATCAATGGGAAAGAGTGCATTAACTTTGCATCATTCAATTTTCTGGGTCTCCTCGACAACGAACGGGTTAAGGTCAGTATTTAACATTAAAGGCTTTACTTACTGTAGTTGTATTTTTTTCCCTTTAATGCTACATGTTGCCATTGAGCAACAATGTGACTGGAACTTAAAGTAATGTTTTTCTCCTTTTTGCAGCAAAAAGCTTTGGCATCACTCAAGAAGTATGGTGTGGGCACATGTGGTCCAAGGGGCTTCTATGGAACTTTTGGTGAGTGAAAACTTTATGATTTCAGTCTTCTATTAATATTCCACTATCTGACCTGATCCCAGTAGTTCAGTGGACTGTAGAGAAACTTAGAGGCTGTTAACGTTAGTTCATATGTCTGGATATGATGTAAAGAGGTGGAACCTGGGTAGAGCTGTGGTGGGGCCAGCTGGTGGCAGTCATCAAGGCTGACTGATAGGATGAGACCCCTCTCAGTCAAGCAAACACATTCCAAAGCATAATTCCTAAATTCCTAAATACTCGCCTGTTCGAGTCCCCGTCCGGACCAAATATGGAGCGTGGACTGGTGGCTGGAGAGGTGCCAGTTCACCTCCTGGGCACTGCCGAGGTGCCCTTGAGCAAGGCACCGAACCCCCCAACCGCTCAGGGCGCCTGACCAAGGCAGCCCCCTCACTCTGACATCTCTCCACTTTGTGCATGTAAAGGTCCTGTTTGTGCATGTGTGTGTCTTTCGGACCTGTGTGTTAATGACAACGAAGTGAAAAAAATTTGTGAAAAAAGAATTTCCCCTCAGGGGGATTAATAAAGATAAAATAAAAAAAAAAATTAAAATAAAATTAAAATTAATAACAGAAATTCATCATGAAATGCTGAGCAGTGAAGAAACAGATCTGCTGTCACAGGTATTAATGTAGAGCAGCTTGAAGAGTCTATAACATAAAGATTCAGAGATGAGTGAGAGAGAGAGTGATGCACTCACATGACATTAGTTATTTGAGGGGAGCCTTCAGAAAATGTACCTGTAGTAAGGCTGTCTCAAACAATTATTTTTCTAATGATAAATCTTGCGATTATTTTTTCGATTAATCGACTAATCTAACGATTCATTTTTCGATTAGTTTAAAGGCGCTGTATGTAAGAATGTGGCCAAAATGGTTACTTCAAAACTCAAATTCAAAATACTGCCGCAAGTCGTGTCCGCCCCCCTCCCTTACAGATTCGAGGCTGCTGGACAGCAGCACGCTGGAGACTGATTTGTTTGCCCACGGACGGCTGCCGTGGCAGGGCCGCGTCGCCGCGTCTGTGATCTTCAGTTTTCCAGCGGAACGTTCGAGCAAGTCCGGCTTCTCTGCTGCTAACGCTGCTGCCGGGATACAGTGGAGGAGCCGGCTGCTAATGCTATGTACCGGAACACTGCTAATGCTGCTTGCCGTGCTGCTGTAGCTCAGTCGTAACTGTAACTGATGCTGAGACTTTAATGACTGCGTGACTGGTAGACGGCGGTGGGTGGTGCAACAGGCCAAAACACAAATTCAAAACATAAACATGATTTGCGGACCGTAAAATATTTTTTTAAATGCGAATATTCTGGCCGTACTATTGTTGTCGGTGAGATCAGTATGTTATATGAACATTATTCCTTAGTCTCTGTGACATATTAGGGGGATTTTATGACTATTTGCTTTAGATTTCTTACTTATAGCTCCTTTAATGATTATTTTTTCAGTTATCGATTATTTTTCCATTATTTGATTAGTGAGGCAATTTAAACAATATGAATACCAAAACATTACTTATTAACGTTAACATTTATTAAAACATGCGTGCACACAAACACACACAAATACGTGCACACACACGCGCACACAGACAGATACAGGTGAGAGGCTGCATTTTCCAACCTGAGTGAGACAATTATAACCGAGCCCTGCCCGAGCCTGCAGCACGGCACTGTGTTCACAGGCAGTCGAGCGGAATGGGTGGAATAACAAATTCCACTTGAGTAGGCCATAGCACAATAGCACAATAGCACAGCACTGCTACTGCCACTGCACGCTGCCATTTTTTTTGTTTGAACTTACGCGTCAGCGCTAATAATTCGCGGGGCGTTGATGTCATCGACTGTGTAAATACATCAACGGGTCGCCCCAGCCCTAACCTGTTGTTTACATTCCAACAGTCCATTTTGCTCTCAGCTTTTATTTTTTCTCCTCATATATGCAGACATCCAAATAGGACTGTGTCCTTATTTTGTGTCTGTCTATTGAGATAGCCAAAAACTTTTCAATTCCACATTAAAGGGGAACACTGCCTAAATCAAGAATTCCAATATGTTATTTACATGGTCTAGGGAAGTTCAAACAATATTTGTGAACATGAGCTGCTCTCTGTTAAACCAGAAACCAGAGATGGACATCTCAAACTTGTGATGTCATCAAGTATAAAGTGTGGAGCTACTCCATTGAAAATGAGTCAGAACCTGATTTTCTGGACCCACAGAATGTTTGTTTCCTTTTTATACCCAAATGAGCTTTATTCTATGATAGGGTTCTCAAATGTAAAACATAAAATATAATGAAAAATAGCAGTAGGCACATCATAGTAGAATTCACCTATAAACATGGATGTGTTTCAGCTAAAGAGCCATCGTCAGTGTGACAAAGCAATAGTGAATGGCAAATTATATACACACAGGTGAGGTTAAGGATAGAGAATACATAATTAAAATTAAAAAAAGACCTATGAAATATAAGCCTATCACAAATAGGAGGAAAATATAAAATATCAAAAACATGAAATGTCTCTATAAACTCAAAACATTCCTCTGGGTGCTCCCAGTGTCATCTAGAACTTTAACCATTCATTGTCTGTGGAGCAGCTCCAGACTTTATATTTGATGACATCTCATGTTTGAGTTTTAGCACCCTAGTTTTAAGATTTGGGAGGGAGTTGTTTATTTTTATGCCTCTGCGCTGGTGATAACTGTGGCTGGAGGCATTCTGTTTTCGGGGTGTCTGTACGTACATCTGTCCACCCCATTCTCGTGAGCAGCAAGCTGAATGCCATCTAGTTCCATTATACTGGAGAGTATTCGCCAGCACTCAGTAACTCACACCAAAACTGTCTAGACTGATAAATAGCACTATGGGTAAGAGGACAAATGTGTTTTTGATTTTAAGTTGAACTCAAGACAACTTTATTAATCCCTTGAAGGGCAATTCTGTTTAACAGCTCGCGCCACAACACACACAGAACACATAGAAACACAGAAAGAAAGTTGACAGCTGTGTGCAAAATGTGTTAGCCCCAATAATGCATTACATTAAAATGTAAAAACAAACCACCAATAAATATATTCATTAGAAATAGCCTATACAAGCACTGGATGATAACATACATAAAAAAGGTACACAGTACCCAATGCACAATACAAAACCATACAGATTCATAAGGATATATTTAACAGTCGGACAGCAGAGGGGATAAAACACTTGGAAAAGTGATACCCTTACAAGCAGGTTGGGCATAACGATGCCCTGAAGGCAATAGTGAAAATTCACTTGCTAAAACATGCCCGGAAGTACTTAGAATACTGTGTGTTTTCCTCAGAACCTGTTGTTCCCATAGGGAACCTAGGTCTCTCTGCTAAAGTCCAGTAATCTTGGAACAGATTTTCACAACACTGTTCATACTATTCCTGTCCCTGAGTGACAGGTTGTTGAACCAACAGATAAAAGAATAAGTTAAAAGGCTTTCAATGAAGGACTGATAAAAATGACAAAGAATCACTGGACTGACAGAAAAAGAATTCAACATTCGAAAGAGATGAATCCTCTGCTGTCCACGTTTGACCAGTGTTTCAGTGTTAATGCCCCATTTAAGCTGGTTGTCAAACACAGTACCTAGATATTTGTAGGAGCTGACAATTTCAATCTTCTCTCCATCTATAACACTCTCAGTGAAGGCCTTCTTGTCACGTCTCAAATGAGTCATCATTTCTTTAGTTTTGGATGCATTTAACTTACATTTAAAAAGTTGTCCTTACACCAATCTAAAAATGCAGGGAGAGCCACACTATGTTTATGTTGGGCACCCTGAAGGAGAGACAAAAGCACAGTATCATCCGAAAACTTAACAAGGAAGCTGCCATCACAAGATGATCTGCAGCTGTCAGTATGTACGATATAAAGAAGAGGTGACAATATGCACCCTTGTGCCAAACCAGTATTATGAACTGTCCCTTTAAAGGAAGAAATGCTGTAAAAGACCAAGTAGCTAAATATGTCACACAATCTAGTTTGATGAGAGGTTGTAGTCATATCAGTAGGTCAGTAGCTGCCCAGTGTCCTTGTCTTGTAATGTTTTTGTTTTGTTTTTAATTTTTTGGGGGGGCCTTTTGGCCTTTATTGGACAGGACAGATTAAGAGTGAAAGGGGGAGATGGAGGGGATGGCATGCGGCAAAGGACCATAGGCTGGAATCAAACCCATGGTTGCTGGGGCAAGAACATTGCTTTTGTACGCAGGACGTTCATTCTACCCACTGAGCTACCTCTCAGTGGTTTAATCACTAATACTCTGATGATCATAGCCATGCTGGAGGCATTACTTTTTATGGTTGTCCGTTTGTTCATATGTCCACCCGTCCTTCCTAGTCTTGTGAACGCTTTTAACTCAAGAACGCCTTGAGGGATTTTCTTCAATTTTAGCACAATTGTCCTCTTGGATTCAACAATGAACTGATTAGAATTCTGTGGTCAAAGGTCATTGTCTCCTTGCATCCAACTCATTCTTGAGAAGTCCTTGAGGGAGTTTCCTTTAAATTTGGCACAAACATCCACTTGGATTCAAGAATTAAATGAGTGGAATTTGGTGGTTGAAGGTCAAAGGTCAAGGTCACTTTCGCCATTCACTTGCACTCAGACATCGATGGAATAGCAATATGGGATTCAGTATCTTACCCAAGGATACCTCCACACGCGTACTGGAAGAGCCGGTTATTGAACTGCTGATCTTCTGATTAGTGGACAACCCGTTCTACTTCCTTAGCCACAACCGCCCCAATGTGTATCTCTTTAGTTTTCATCTACTTTCACTTATCTCTCTTTCAGATGTTCACCTGGAGCTGGAGAGTCGTCTGGCCAAATTCATGAAAACAGAAGAGGCTATCATCTATTCTTATGGCTTTGCAACTATTGCCAGTGCAATCCCTGCCTACTCCAAGAGGGGGGACATCATCTTTGTGTAAGTACTGTTTCTGCTAACTGGTTTAGGGCAATATTTAACCAAGACTTAATGATCAGACTCAACAATGAACTGGTTGGTTTTTAGTGGTCATATTTCAAAGGTCAAAGTCAACGTGACCTTGTCTGTCTCATTCACATGAACGTGATATCTCCAGAACGCCTTGAGGGAATTTCTTCAAATTGTGCGCAAACATTCACTTGGACTCAAGGATAATATGATTAGATTTTGGTGGTCATGGGTCAAAGGCCAAGGTCGCCATGACCTTGCATCCATGACATTCTTGTGAATGCGATATTTCAAGAACAGCTTGAGGGAAATTCTTCAGGTTTGGCACAAACATTCCCTTGGACACAACGATAAAATGGTTAGACTTTGGTGGTCAAATTTCAAGGTCTATGTGACCTCATCTGCCTCATCCTTGTAAATGCAATATCTAAAGAACACCGTGAGGGAGTTCATTCAATTAATTCTAGTTTTTCTCATTTTGTGTGAGCATTTTTGGAGGGAGACTGGGTACAAGAATTTAATTGCCAATGACTGCTTCACTGTGATTGTTGTGCATCAGACAAATAAAGACTTGAACTTGACTCAGAGCTACAAAACAGTCAGGTGTCTTTCCTTAAAGGCTCAGCACAGAAACACACAGCTACCATCTGAAGCCTGCATATGTTGATATCTAAACATTTCATAGTCCTGTGTTTTTAGGTCTTTGTTGTGTCCCTTGTTGTGTGTTTAGGGATGAAGCAGCCTGCTTCTCCATCCAGAAGGGTCTTCAGGCGTCTCGCAGCTTCATCAAATACTTCAAACACAATGACATGGAGGATCTGGAAAGGCTGCTCAAGGAGCAGGAGCTGGAGGACCAGAAGGTTAGTCCAGAGTGGTTTAGATTCAGGAAAGAGTTTTTGGGGTTAGATGTCACACGGTGCCTTGTGCTTTCATGCCTGCATTGTAGCCCAGAGTGTTTGAACTGCTAATAATATCTTAAGAATCCTGTTTTCTCTTGGTTGTTGTTTAATGCATGTTCTTGTCAACGTCTCATACACTAACATACTTTGTTTCTGGTGCAGAATCCTCGTAAAGCTCGAGTGACCCGGAAATTCATTGTTGTGGAGGGGCTGTACATCAACACTGCAGACATCTGTCCTCTCCCTGAACTGGTAAATAGAAAGCAAATGGACCCTGAAGGCTGCTAATCTCCTTGATTCATACACTCGTCAGGCTTATCATCCCTTTAGCAAGTGCTGTCAAAGGAGACTTGATGTAGTGATTATTAAGAGGCACATGCACTATAGTATAGTTAGGATTCAAGGCTCGAAGGGGCAGAATGCAATTGTTTGTGCTGGTGTATTATTATGTGTATTATTATTATTATTATTTGTCTTCTGGTATGGCTCAAATTCCTGTGAGCTAGAATGAGCTGGAAACATGCAAGTTGGCACAAAAACTGGAAATGATGTGCAAATGCCTCCCAAGAAATATGATTAGCATCGTGAATGATGGCGCTGTAATTAACGCCTTAAAATTTTGGAAAGGTCATGCCCCTCATACATTGATTCTGACTGACTCAATTGAAATTTGGCACTGTGCATTTCTTAAGCAAGATTGGTTAAAAAACATAACACCAAAAAGCAGAAAGTAATGCTCTCCCACCTTCACAAAGGGTGGGGCTTTGAAGGAAATTGGCCATAACTCATTAACAAATTGTCCAATCAATGTAAATCTTGATACATGTCTTCAGTATGTGTCTGGGAATAGGTCTACCAAAGCACATTTAGCACAACCCATAGGGGTTGCCATAAATATCACAAATTTATACCTCCAAACCCAGTGGAGAGGAATTTGCGTGTCATAATCGTTGATGCATGTGGATGTGGCCTTATCTAGCATTATGCGCTTTATTATGCCTTTGCTCAATTTACCATGACCTGGACTAAGCTAAAGACATGAAACTAGACACAATAACTGGAAATGATATTCAGATGCTTCACATCAGATTTGATCCCACCCCTCACACTATCAGTCTGATTGACTTGAAATATGAGACACGTCTGCATCTCACTGTGCGCTTCAAAAAAGCCTTTGGACCACACAGGCTACCATCATTGATTTTTGCTAATTTGCATATTGTGAAAGTCGGTTATAATATGAAACCAATTTCTTTTTTGTTTTAACTGTAGCAGTACCACATTTGGTATAAAGCTTTGCGGGACAGTGCTACACGGTTCTATAATAAATTAGCACGATAAAATGAAGCAAGTGAGTGATTGCTCTCACTCCTCCTTCTGACCAAATTAAACAAGCTCAAGGACTTGCCTCAGCTTAATGTAGCATGAAACCTGTTCACTGTTAATCACTTTGATTTTGGCAAGTGAGGTCCTTTCTTCTGTTGGTTGAAAAAGGGCTTGAACCCTCAATTGCTGCTTGTAGCTATATTATATTTTTGAAACTTAAGTTCCTTTTGTTACTCAAATATCTAATGTAATGCTGATTACAGGCAAAACTCAACATGGCTGATTTACAGATGAAATGACAATTCAAGAAGACCTGACACTGTTGTGTCTCAACATTAACATTATTTAACACATTCAAACTGATATCTAGCTCATCTGAAAAATCCTCTACCAATAGCAGATATGAAAGGGGACTAAAGGCTAGAAACTGAACTTAACTTGATATCAACAGCATCAAGCAATGTTGCTGTTCCATCTAATAAACAGTTAAGTCCTGTGACATCCTTAGTCTTATTGACGCAACTGAGCAATCACCTGATAAAGCCTAAAGCAAATATCAATCAAGTCAATCAATTTTATTTATAAAGCCCAATATCACAAATCACAGTTTGCCTCAGAGGGCTTTACAGCATACAACATCCCTCTGTCCGTGTGTGACCCTCGCAGGGGATAAGGAAAAACTCCCCCAAAAAAACCCTTTAACAGGTTTAATGCCTCTGTGCTTTCTGGAGTTATTCACACATAAACACCCCCCTTGCTACAGTATTAATTATGGGTTTGCTGCTGTTGCTCCAGCAGATCAGGTAGCCATCGCTGTCAGTGTCATTGCCTGAACTTCTGCTACATTACTCGCAAACATGGAAAATGTATCTAATATGGCATGATGACTCCAGTGGTGTCATATTTCTAGATGTCTCTGCTCCATTGTTCATTTATTGTTTACCTCCAGGTTAAGCTAAAGTACAAGTACAAGGTGCGGATCTTTTTGGAGGAGAGCATGTCTTTTGGTGTGCTGGGAGAACACGGCCGAGGAGTCACCGAACACTTTGGGGTCAATGTGAGTACGCCCAACTTTGAACAGACAATCCAAAATCAAAATCACATTTTTTCCTCTTACCTGTAGTGTTTTTTATCAGTCTAGATAGTTTTGGTGTATGTTGTCAGACCGTTGGGGATATCAGCTGTAGAGATGTCTGCCTTCTCTCCAGTATAATGGAACTAGATGGCACTCAGCTTGTGGTGCTCAGAGTGCCAAAAACATTCAACAAACTCAACAGCAATATGTCTTTCCAGAAATCATGACCCAGTTAATAGATAATCCACAGAACTTGTGAGCAGTTTCATGTAGGAACTACATGCATCTACTAGCTCACCTAGTACCACTGAGCTAGCTTAAGTTACAGCTTAGCTACATCTTGCACCTTCACAAGCACGAGCCTCTCGCACCTTCACAAGCACGAGCCTCTCTTCCATGAGTAGATGCATTCTTCCTTCTGTGCCGTGATTTAGCAGGAGAAAGAAAATAGTTACCAATTCAACTATTTCAAGCTGCTCACAACAAGGTCTGTGGAATGTCTTAAGTGGGCAGCATAGTGGGTTGGCGGTGGTGCAGTGGTTATCATTGTAGCCTCACAGTAAGAGGGTTCCTCGTTTGAACCTGGCTCCTGGTCGGGGAGGCACCCCATGTGGAGTGGGTTGTCCGTCTGTACATGTGTCCATTCGTCCATCCTATTCTTGTGAATGTTATATCTGAAGAAGGCCTTAAAGGAGTTCACACACATCCTCTTGGACTCACCTAAGAAGTAATTGCAGTTTGGTGGTCAAAGGCCAAGGTCACTGTGACTGTACACAACATGTTATTGACCATAATTCAAGAATTTTGTATGTCAATTTGTAATTATGACAAAAATTCACATAAATATCTTACTGGATAAAACAGTGACGTGATGACATTTTATATCCTAACAGTCAAAAGTCAACTTCACTGTGACATAATATTTTAACACTTTCCTGGCCATTACTCAATGTCATATATTAGGAACAGAAGGAAAGACATTTGGTCAGTTACTGAATTCATGACACTAATCTCAGGTGGCCATCTTGAAACTATGCTGATTGCATAGATCCTTGGTTACTAACAAGCGGACTAGGGATTAGAGTTCAACCAATTAATCGGCGCCGATAGGACGTTTTCCAAACTATCGTTAGCGGTTTCCTCTCCTCCCCCGCTCTCTCTCTCTCTCACTGCTAGAGAGAGCGAGAGCAAGCGCAGCGTGTGCAGATGCTTCAGGGGAAAGGAGGCTCAAGGAGTCCACCTGGAGATAAGCGGTAAGCATGATTCTAAGTGCAATAAAACATTTACAAGTTAAAAGGCCAAAAAAACATAACGTCCTTGTTGGAGGTAATAAGTACCACTTGTTCAACAAGCATAAATGTGTATCATATTTCAGCATAAACAACAATATTTCCCTGTGCATGTTTTTTATGACCAGTGACCACAGCGTGCTTGTTAAGTAAGCAAACAGCTTGTTAAGAACATGCTAAAATGAAAGCTGTCTGCGTGCAGTCTGTTTATCTTAGTTTGCCAAAAATCTTAAAATTTGGCAAATTCTTGTTCTTCAACTGCTGGCTGAATTCTTTTTCAATTCTTTTTTCATCTTAGCTCTTTAGAAACTACTGTTATATTATTTGGTGCTATGAACACTTCATGTCCAGGTCAATTCACACACTTGTGGGTAAAGCATGTAAGAGGAGAGGAGCGGGCTCCGTCTTATCTCTTATCTCTTACTAAAGTTATGTTATTTTGCACAACGGACACTTCATAACATAACAATGTACTATTTATCGTGTTATGTCATCGTGTCATTTTTGTCTCTACATGGTCACGCGTTAACAATTCTCCTCTGTTCTCTGTATCGTGCACAGCAGAGTTCCGCCACACACATAGGTGAGCACGCTAGAGCGCAGCTCGGGCCGCATTTTCCTGATCTAACCTGTCCCGAGCCTGGTGCAGTTTGTTAGCTGACATAGTTATTGTTTTGGACAGTGTGTAAATAAACATCAACAGACTGCTGTTACGCACAGTCAAACAGCAGCGCAGCACAGCTCTGTACCACACTCAATTGGAACGGAGCCGGTGTTGCTTTCAGGTGTTGTCAAATAACAACTTCAAGCACTTAATAGGTCATAGCACAAAACAGCAGCATGTCAAGTGACTTTTTACTTTTATTATGTTCATTAAAATTGTATTCCTTAATCTTGACACCTCATAAGCTAGACAGACATTTCACCTGCTCAATACTGTGCACAAATGTACTTTATGTACTTAGTCCTAAAGAGTCCTTCTGTGCCAGTAGATACATAGAAACATCCCAGCAGGCTGTGCTTTGCAAGTGTAAAAAAAAGTTTTGCGCGTGTGAAATTTTTTTTTCGCGCATGTGCTTCACCTCTGCTGCTACAACTCCATCGTAGGGGAAACACTGTATATAGTGACTTTGCTGTTGTAAACTAAACTGTTCCTGTTGTAGAAACAATATTTAGCTTATTTAAATATATAAATCAATTTTGAATGTATTCTTTTTTTAATGTTAGTATTGATAAAGAACCAGACTGTTAAGACTAAAAAAGTTTTTTATCTATAAAAACTTTTTGTCTTAAGGCACCACCCAGTGGTGGAAGGGTCAAATTGACCTGGAAATACTACTGGAGAGGAAAAATTGAATAAAATACCCTTAATTCAATACAAGTAGTGATTATCAATTTTATTTGGTAAAAAAAGCGTAACAGGGAACCATCCATGTCATTTTATGGCATTTATATGGAAGAAAAACATATTTTTGATAGAAATGTCAAATGTTTTTTTTTGGGGGGGGGGAATTGGCCGATTAATCGGCTATCGTTTTTTTCCTACTCCAAACTATCATTATTATATCGGCCTTTAAAAATGGTCGACCTCTACTAGGGATGCACTGATCCGATACCTGGATCAAGTATCGGCTCCGATATCATCAAAATAGATGGATCGGGTATCGGAAAATGCAACCTATACCTGAGGCAATCCTTTCCCTTTAAATCTATTGCATCATGAGCTACGTCATAGGGTTGTCACGATACTAAAATTTCAAACTCGATATCAATACCCAGGAAAATATTCAATACTCAATACCATTTTCGATACAGTAGCAAAACATTAAGAGGCATGTCATTTTTTAAATAAAGATCAGAACAGTAACATCAATGATAACAACAAAAAATCCCCCCAAAATAAATAACAACCAGAAACAAGATCTGTCCATACAAATGTATTTATCTACAGCCCTGTTTATTTTCTGTGCTTCTGGTGAATTGGCACCATATTTTCATTGCTGATCAAATAGATTTGGTAGTTTAGGCTCAGGATGCTCCTGTTTCTACCTCACTATGTGATCAGAGAACCAGGGGTTCAATCTGTGACTTTACAGTTAACATAACTTTTCAGACGCACATAATTGTGTTGTCCTGTTAAACTAACATTGTCTATTAATGTTACAGACGGGCATGACTGATAAAGTTTTCTGCTTAGCTCCCACATTAACATTGGAAGTTATATTTTAGTTTGATGCTGGCGACACCAGCTGCTCAGCTGCTAGTGAGGGGAGGGGCTGTACCTGCCGTCTGCAGCGTGCTGTGTTCACATCACTAAATATTTCCAAAGAGCGCATTTTCCTTTATCATTTTTAACCAAAAATGACTGCTCTGATCCTCCTGCAGCCGAACTGGCCATATTACAACAACAGAAATGTGTGCATGAATGCACAGCAACGACAACAAGCAGGGTTGCAGCGAGGGCTCTTTGCCTGCCAGATGCTGCCTGCACAGCGCGTGTCCGTCGGACCCGTTGCGCACACCCGACAGGCGCTGAGGTGGCGTGCACTGTTAGTATTGATACTTTTGTAAATTAGTATTGTATCCGGATACAGCGTTTGAGTATTGATACTTTTCAGAGTATAAATAGTTTTGACAACCCTACTACGTCATACGTTGTGGAGCGAAGGAGAGAATCTGCTGTGTGGAGGTATTTCACACTATTTCAACTGCTGTTACACAATTGTTTATTTTTGTTAAAAAATAAATAGTTCATCATTGCATTAATCTGTTTCATCTTGTTTCATTTTATCTTAGGAAAGAACTGTCTAGTCATCAGTGCCTGATCCCTCTAGTCTTTTCTGTTCTACATGTAAAGGTATATAGCTTTTTAGGTCAACCATGGTATCGGATTGGTATCGGGTATCGGCTGATACTCAAAGCCACAGCATCGGTATTGGTATCAAAACTGAAAAAGTTGGATCGGTGCATCTCTGATGTGGACTGCGGTCTGAGTCTGGACTCAGGCGCCGTCCTATACAGACCCGGACCCTATGACCAGTAAATTATTAAGGGATTTTAAATTTTGACGGGACACTTCTATTTGAACTGGCGCAACTTTTCTAGTCTTTACGGTATTGGTTTAGCTGATCAGGAAATGCACAGACCAGTTGCATGCGAGTTAAGCCACCCCACGTGATGCCACCCAGCCAATCAAATCTCTGCATTCCAGGCAATTAACATTGCAACTCTGTATACCGTCAGATGGGAGAGGTGAGAGGAGAGTAACAAGCGGAAAGAAGATAGAAAAATAGAAAGATAGAAATATAGAAAAAGAAAGAAAGGGATACAGGGAGAGAAGACGGAGGGGAAGAAGCGAGTGAGCGGGAGGCAGGGAGAGAAACGGAGAAAGCTTTCCCAGGTCTGAGGAAAGTAGCCCTGTACATCTTGACCATGTTTGGCTCCACATACAGCTGCGAGGCAGCTTTCTTCCCAATAAACATAATAAAAACTAAATATCATTCCAGGCTCACCAATGAGCACCTGCCCATGTGTATGAGAATGGCCCTGACACCATTCCAGCCCAGATTTAAAATCCTGCCAGGACAAGCTCAAGCTCATTTCTCTTTGCAAAAAGTGGAGAGAGTGAGAAAAGAGGGAAAGAAAGACAAAATCTGAAACTGTTCAATTGTTATTTATTTATTGTAAAATTGGTTGAGACTGTTAAGTCAAGATGTGAAACAGTTAAAGAAAAAGGAAAATTCAAGCTGTTGCTATACTTTTTTTAATTTTATTTTTTCTAAAATTAAGCACTTTATTTTAAGATACAAAATTTTTCAAAAACTATTTCATTGTTTTCTCCATTTTGTTCTTAAATGCATATCTGTATAGTAGACTGTTAAGTGACAATTAATATTGTCGAAATGTTCTTGAAACATACTTTATTTTTTTGTATTTGACAGTCTGATGTTGACACAACTACAAGGCTACTTCAGTACATATCACACTATATAACAAGTTAGACATTATGATATTCCAGACCTTTGTTTAAGGAAATCTTCTCTATCTGGACCTCTTTGAATTTTAGTTGAATACCCCTGGTATAGATCTTCTGTGCTGCCAGTGGTAAGATGTGTGTGAAGCATCCATGTCTTCTCAGACATGGATGTGAACTGTAAGAGAGACTCGATTGGTTCATGGAGGCATACAACTGCATGGCGATAATTCTATTTTGTCAATCCTAGGCTCCCAGCCTCAAGCCTACACCTGCCTGCCTTCCTCTTGTGTGCAGCAGCGCAAGTGTGCTGATAAAAATAGTTGATTTCATTGTTTCCTATAGTGATTTATTGTAGTAATTGATTATTTTAGATAATAGATTTCATTTAATACACTTTTCCAATATACACATAAGAGCTGACAAATGGGACATTGGGATCCAGATTACACTAGATCAGTCTCTCAAAAACATTTTGGGCATATTTTTGTCCATTGTATGTATGTGTCTCGTGAATAATTATGACATGGTACTGTTTCCTCAACATGCAGATTGATGACATTGATCTGATCAGTGCCAACATGGAGAACGCTGTGGCCTCCATTGGAGGATTCTGCTGCGGACGCTCCTTTGTCATTGACCACCAGGTATTAAAACAAGTTTTTACTGATACAAGTTTAATAAATGACTGTAAATGTGTGTAGGGTTAAGTTTGGATTAAATGGTATTTAAGCTTATGCACTGCATCACTGCTCCACATAAAGATGCCTTGTTTGTTCATTTGCTGTAGTCTTGTCAGTTGTGGACAATTCTATTACAAGATATTATGAATCATCTTCAAAGTATAGACATGCTAATTTTGGGCAGCCCTAATAAATTATGCTATGACTTGTCTTACACTGTGTTTTCACCAAAATTAGCGTGTGTATGTAGGTTTTTAAAACACGGGTAACCCCATTAAAAATAGGCAATAGACTCCTTTCCCATGGCCATTAGACCAGAACTGTGTACACAGCTCTGCAGCAGATGAGTTTGCCTTTCTGTGTGTGGGGTTTTTTTTTATAGGTGCTTCACTTCATCGTCACAGACAGGCCAGAGAATGGGTAAACAGTAGATAGCACTATTTGACAGCAGCAGAGAGGAAAGAAAACTAAACTGGCTACTTCTTTTAATCTCTTACTTACACAGTCTCTCTCTCAAACTAGGCACAAACTAATTTGGATCAATGTTTGGACTGCTTGGACGGAGACTGACTGTGTTTTGTGACAGCACATCATTGCATCTTGTTGGTTAAGGGGCAAAAAGTAGTGTGTTCACCCGATTGTTGTTCTCCCATCAATGTCGATGGCAGCCTGAGGTGATTAATACCCATGACAACTGCATGACATACTTAATGATTTGACCTGGGTGTTAATGCCAATTAAAACCATTCCCATTGCATTAAAAAGGCAGATGTTAACTGGTGTTACTGGGTTTTTTGTGCAGTGGGAAAGGGGCTTTAATAGTTTGCTCCTCAGCTGCTTTTCTAAAATACTGCATGGACATCTATATTTGTTGCATTTCATTTTGTGTTGGTTGCTCATATTTTCTTCGAATGGCCACTAGATTTTTCTGTCCATTACTTTTAAAATGGTATCACAGTAAACTAGTCTTACTGAGGGAGTGGTCTCAGGCCTTTTAAGAAGTATCCAAAAACAGATTTAATGAGGTGAGAACAGTTTGAGCAGACACTTGTAAAACCAATGCTACACAGGAATGTCTTCAAAACAGCAGTGTTGACATCCTGTTCCAGACTTGACTCCAAGCCACAATAATTGTTCACTGACACTCCTTGTGAAAGGGACAAATGAAAAGCTGAGACGTGTTCATGTGGACTATAAAAGGTGCTTCTACCAAATATCAAACTATCGACTTTCAGGGGTGAAATTGAATGCAGTCTGTTATTTTGTATTTTCTATTTTTGATTAAGGTCAATTGGCTTTTTAACTTAAATAGTAAAATTCTAATCCCAATGCCATCCACTGTAGTAGATTAAGGTGGAATTAATACTGCTGCGTCGAATTAATGCCGTAACTACGACATAGGTTCTGCATCGACATGGAGCATAGACATCATGAGTAGAGAGTCCGCCAGCTGCTAGGCTAATTTATACAATTGTAAAATGCTATACGCTTACACTTACATCATTAGCATGTTGTAAATGTGGGGAAAATGTGTCCAGATAAAGACAAGTCTTTTGTCTGTGAATCCTGTGAGTTATAATGAAGCCAATTTGTGTTCTTGTTTGAAAATTGTCTCTATTAAGCCATATTTAATGTGTGTTTTGAGTGTGTTTTGAATCAACTAAACCTTAGAGCACTTCACAGAAACCTTCACTGATGACCAGTGTTTTGGATGTGTAACTGCAGAGTGACATAGACACACCAACGCACAAGTATAAATGCTCACTTGCGTAGGCTACGGCGTAGGGTCTGCCATACAAGTATAAATCCCCCTTTAAAATGTAAGAGCAGTTTCTGTTGTGTTTTCCAGCGTCTGTCGGGCCAGGGCTACTGTTTCTCTGCCTCCCTGCCTCCAATGCTTGCTGCTGCTGCCATAGAGGCTCTCAATATCATGGAGGAGGATCCAGGTACAGGCTCTGTCTTCATCTTCATTCTCCTCTCTCCACCCTCCATTCTGAGGGCCTGTATTTACCTCAGCTGGAAAGAGGTCTTTATTTCAGACAAGCTGCTATTAAAGAGAGGGTTCTCTATTTCAGATTCCGGCTGATTGTAGTTTTAGTAAGAAGCAGTTCTGTTTTCAGATCTGTATCCACTCATCCATCTATCTTCATCTGTTTTGCAGATATTTTTACTGTCCTGAGGGAAAAGTGCAAACATGTTTACAAGGCTTTACAGGGGTAAGTTCACCTGTACTAGGGTGTGTTTTTTCTCTGATTACAGTTTGTCACTGTAGGATGGGTACAGACCTTCTATTTGTGGGTGAATTTATCTATCTGAGATTATCCTTGAATGAATGAATGAATGAATGAATGAATAAATAAATGAATGCATATCTTTACTTTGAAAAGCCCCCCGGAAAAAAACGTAAAAGAAAACATCAACAGACATGCTCAAAAAGGAGTAGGAAGAAATGTACACTTATATAATCCTACCCCCTTCTCACTATTCATCTCTCATTTAAAAATGAATTTGTCAACAACTAACCCAAATGTATTTACAACCATTAATAGAGATAAAAAAAAAACAATCTTAGATATTAAATTTACAAACCCCATCTCAACTTTATTTACATCCCAAATAACATCAAGAGCCAAGATGAATAAATAAACCAACCTTATGGCATAAACCCTCTTTATCTGCATACCTCCTAAAAATGCTTTGTCTGTACATCTTGTGTTCTAGTTCAAGTGTTCTATAATAATGGTCCCCCTTAACTCCTCATCTAACCCATTCCATAATTCCACCCCACACACTGAAATACACATACATTTCAAAATTGTACAAACACAGTTAGGGGTGTTAATCACCAGTTTCATCACAGTACGATATTATATTGATTCTTTAGACAATGATACAATATCTGTCAATATTACACATTCTGTCACAATATGATTTGATCTGATGTGATTCAGGGATCTGCAATTTATATGAGATGATATTATCTGCCCATTTAACACAGTCTGCTACAGAAGAAGCTGCCACCCCTTTCTTTTTTGCTTTTGGCTGTAAAAGATAAAAATAATAGTTGCAGTAAAGTTTGCCTTATACTGACTCTACTAACACACATAAAACAGCACATGGGATAAGTTAGCCTTCAGGGCTTTCTGCCAGAGAGACCTTTCTGGAAGAAATGTTTTCATTTAAACATAATAAAAAACATAATCTTTTTCCTAAAACTTCAGGGCTATCTGGCTTAAAACCCTGATGGCAAATTTCTCCCAACAGCCATAAAACATGGATTACCAACAAGATCATTCAACAAAAGTTTCATATTCAGCTCAGTAATAACTGTCGAGGTTCATGGACAAAACAATAGTTTTTAGCTTAAGCATGTTTACACTGCATGAATTAGCCTAGCGGCTAGGGGACTTTTTTCCCTCTACTCATAGCTTAACAAATTACATGTAACATTGTTATTTTTCTTACTCAGTGTTGGTTCAAGTCATCATTATATCTTCCGACAGAACAATATGGTTGAATTTCAGCCTGTGTGCACGTTTTTTCAGCCAAACATTGTTGAAACAGAGCAGCATATGTTGCTGTAGTGAAAAGTTAGCAGAGTGAGATGGTCATCCAGGCAGGTCTGTCGTGTCTTATCTTGTAACGGCATTGTTTACATGCAGCATGTGCTTTCAAATAAAAATCCAAATAATTTCCACACCGAGTAAATAATGCTGTCCTCATCACCGGCTCTCTCATAGGTGCTTGCCGTCTGCCTGCTGCTGTTTTATGGTGACACAGAATTTCAAAATAAAGGCGTAACCTCAATATAATGATATGGATCGATGTTTACGCTTTGCATCGATGTGATTGGATCATTGATCATTGAATCAAAATACCGATCCAGATTGATGGATCGTTAAACCCCTAAACACAATATTTTTTTAGATTTAATTTCCCTCTTAAATTTAATCCCCCTTCCCTGTAACAAAACATTTTTTGATATTGCTCAGAAGTTGATTATTTCTTGCTTTGTATGTTATTTGTACTGTTTAACCAAATTCCCGAATTTCGATGCATATGAATTTAAAAACAGTGCGTTTGTGTGCTCCCTATATCCGTCATTATGTAAAATCCTAATGGATGAAATGTTATTATAGTAATGTTAAAAGTGCCACCAGATGGCAGGAGTTACATTTGAAGTACCATACACAAACATGCAAGTCACTGAATCCTCCACAAGTCTACTTTGAAATAAACAGTGCAATGCATTAACTTTATCAAGGGAAACGGGAGCCGATAAAAAGTAAAAGTGTAAAAAATACAGAGGGATTAATAAATAATGGCCCGTTTATAATGTAGCCTGTTTCAAATAAAGCTGGTAGCCTCTGCAGTTGTGGGGAGTAAAAGCCCCGCCACTATTTTTTAATTTTCTTACTTTATGTCCATCTCCATTATGAAGAAATAACATTGTTTGCTAGCGTGATGCTATGCTAATTGCAGTACTCACCGGATTGATAAAGTGGCTCTGCTGTTTCACGCCGGCATTTTTCCCCTTTCACCCTGTGAAACGATGGATTATCGCGTACGACATTCCTGTCAGTCACGATCCATGCCAGCACCGTACATCACTGGGTAAGGCTATAATCGGGCTGATATCGTGTAGTGTAAACCTGGCATTAGACTTAAGATATCTGATCTCGTCCTATGCATGGAGGGTAAGGCTGGTTGTTTTTCCAATTTGGCAACATTTTCAGCTGCTGCTCTTCTATGAGTTAGCTGCTAACTGCTACGAGCTAGTTTTTTTTTTTTTGATTATTTTTTAGGCTTTTTTGGCCTTTAATTGATGGGACAGTGGTAGTGTGAAATCCAGAGAGAGAGGGAATGACATGCAGCAACTGCACATCGGGTGCCTGCTCTACTAGGTGAGCTACTTAGTGCCCCGCATTAGCTAATATTTAAAGCTTCCATGGTGGCTAACACACACATAACACATTGTCAAAACGTCACACCCATGTTGCCCATGATCCCATCCTGCCGGCTGTCCTATTCATACGGACCTTGTTTTGACACTGTTACTACCTCCACTGCCAGCCTTAATGTGAGACAGAGCTGTCCCCCCATTACAGAACAGCATAACGGTGGCAAAACAGCATGAAGGTTCCGCCTTGAAGAGGCAGCGTAAAGGGGGATTGTGTCTCTGATGTAATGTCTGGGAAAAGCTGGTGCAAAATCTGCAAATTGCATTTCTTTAATTACATTTAAATTTAATTAAAATTACAGCAAATTAAAAGATGCTCTAGAAAGTTGCATTACAGTCTCTCTCCTTCCCACATCAGCACAAGACAAAAGAGCAGCAGCCAGTTAATTTCTCCTTTGTTCTCCTGTGGCTTCCTACTCATTTTTCCAGACTGTCAATGGTTCACAGCAGCTCCACTGTGTTATGGTTTGAGCAGACATAACACTTATCAAATAGGCCTGTTAATTATTTGTTATCAGCATTTTTGAGCTAATAACAGTAGGCTTTAGAAAATTTCCGCAACGCAATTCTAATTCCAAAAGTGCTTTTTCCTCATCAGCAGTCAAAGTTCAGCAGCAGAGAACTACATTCCATCCGTCATCCACACACTGGAACCAACAAAGCTTTCAACTCTTTGATCAAAATTTAATTTGTGTATCCACCTTATTCCTAGCCCACATGGTCCCTTGCAGCATTGAACCAAAACCGGCGATTTCCAATGGTTACATTACAGTACTCTATTCTTCTTTCCAAGAGCAATTGGAAATTAAACATGGAACACACCACCTGTTTCAGCTCAAACAGGATTATGTGATCATACCTCTGCCATCTCTGACAGGCATCTCAAAGCATTGTTTTTTTTTGTTCCTTTTCAACCGAGTACACTAGCAATTAGCTTGTCTTGCTCTGTTAAAATATTGTTAACTTTAACTGCTAGCTTAAGGTAAACATCTGTTCCTTCTAAAGATGATTTCTGATTTCTGATGACTTATTAAGATATACAAACATATTCAGCAAACATTTAACATAATTAAGTATTAACTGTTGCTCCATGTAAAGTGAATAAATGAGATGTTCCCCAGCTAATCCTCTGCTCGTCTGCATTAACAACACAGTTTACAAGTCTTTTAACTTCTGATTTATTAAAAACTGTTCTGAGCGAAACATGATGCTGAATTTAGCAGCAGACTTCAGTAATAGTAATATAAAGTAGTACAAAAAGACAAAACTTATGGCATTCATTTTTTTACAATATTCAGTAAAGGAAGTATGGTAAATCAGTAACACATTCTCTGCATAATTCAAGGTATGTTGCTGAGTTTATTTTATAAACAGTCATTTTCTAATGTAGGTTGAGAATGAAGTTAGACGGGGAAAGACAGGGATATTCTGATTTAATACTTTTACACTGTCTCGTGAAACTCTTGTGGTTTTATTTCTCAGTTGGCCCTTCCAAAATGAATTGGAAGTGGGCCTTTAGTTACAAAAGGTTGAGAACCCCTGCTCTATAAAGTCTCTCAGCTCCTCTTCATATCCCTCATACCACACTTGTACTACTTTGGTTACCAAAGCAACAATCAAGAGTGTGGGTAAAGTGAATTGGACAATCCACATATTGCTGGCTGGTTAATACTCAGGTGAGGTTCCAGCCTCTCAGTGAAGCTCATTGCTGTCAGGAGAACTCGAAAGCAGATGGCAGCTGTCTGTATATCAGGGTAACTCCTTATCCAGGCCAGCAGAGGGCGTAAGCAGGGACAAGAAGACGTGGCAATTTTCAAAGAAATAATGTTCAAGGCTTCAGGCTTGTTTTCGCTCGTATGTCAGTGTTATCTTATGTTGTACTTTTTCCCCCCCGATATATGACAGAACTCCAGGTCTGAAGTTGGTTGGTGTGCAGTGTGCCCCTGCTCTTCACTTACAGCTGGAGAGAAGTTCAGGCTCCAGAGACTCTGACATGCAGCTGCTTCGTGCCATTGTAGATTATGTAAGTCCTGTTTGTTCCAGCTGATTATATCAAACCAACACACTTTATTAAAGTTTTTTTTATTTATTTCTAGTCCAAAACCTATATTTTAATTAATATACACCGAGGTTCTTGTGATGAAAATTTGTTGAGAAGTCTTAGAAGTCCAGATGTAATGTCACAATATCAAATTAAAAGTCTTTTGCTGACTTTGATGAGCCTCCTCATAAGAATGAGAAAGAAAGAAATGTCACATTTGTATGCCCTTCATGTTATAAATTGAGATACAAACCAGAGGAAAATTATTAGCATGTTCTGTTTTTAATCCGCTATTTTATGCTCCAAATTATTTATTTACAAAATATTTTTAACCATACTCCAAAGTACTGCCACAGCTGTAGTTAATAAGTTGACATATAATGTAGTGTTAACAAAGACAGAGTCTTTATTGTCCTTTCCCAAAGAAATGTTTTGCCACACTCTGTACAGGGTCTCACATAAATACATTATACACCACAGCATAACTACATGAAAGACATCAGATACATCCAGATTAATATACACTTACCTATGTACTCACTGACAGAGATTGTTATTTAGTAGCTCATAGTAATTTCCATGTTTTCTGTGTCAGTGTTTGGAAAGACGCGTGGCTCTGACCCTTGCTCGTTACCTGGAAAAAGAGGAGCGTTTCCTCCCCCCTCCCAGGTAAGGGACTCTACAGTGAAGTTAATACTTTCAAGCAGTTCAGATTAACTTTTTGACTCACCAACCAATGGGGCTGATAGATGAAAGAATCCACAGGCCAAGCATGTGTTTTACTGCCAAAATAATAAATTGCCCTTTTGTGTCACATATACATTTATATTAGGATATTTCATTGAGATAATAAGTTTTTACCATCTTAAAGAAGAGGTTAGAGAAAATTTTGAATCAAAGTCATTATAGTTTATTGAACAGTTTATCACCACAGCCTCAGAAGTGGTGCAGTGTATTTGCCTGGGCTTTTATTGTCAAAGGGAAGATCGGAATGAGTGAAGCCAGAGCCATTTAACTCGCACTCGTACTCGTACTCGTTGTCCTCCACTTATCCGGGTACGGGTCGCGGGGGCAGCAGCCTCAGCAAAGAAGCCCAGACAGTCCTCTCCCCCGCCACTTCCGTCAGCTCTTCCGCGGGAACCCCGAGGCGTTCCCAGGCCAGCCGGGTGATGTAGTCCCTCCAGCGTGTTCTGGGGCAGCCCCGAGGTCTCCTCCCGGTTGGACAT